TTTTTTAGGTTCATTTAGGTTCTTTTGATAACGATAGCAGAAAATAGCTATCGAAACGTCAAGGTAATTTTTCAAATTAATTTCTCTACTAATTTTTAAAGACAAAAATTTTTGAGGCAAAATACCCAAAAAGAAGTTTGTAAAAAAAACAAAAACACTCCAATCCCATTGATTGGTTCGGGTTGGTTGCAGCTCCAGATGCGGCTGAGCGACTTGGCACCGCTGCCTCCAGTGATGCCGCAGGTGATCGTCAAACAGGGCGTGTCCAAGTGCAAGGAGTGCAACATTGTCTTTTGCAAGCATGAGAACTACCTGGTGCACAAGAAGCATTACTGCTTCGCCCGGCCGACGGAAGATGACGCTTCAAAGACCAGCGGCAGCCCACCGGTTAGCCCCAGGTGAGCTTGTGGTGGGGTTTGCGTAGGGCGGGGCTTACTAGGGCGTGGTTTAGGAGCGGAGGCACCACCAGTCCAGCCGCCCAGTACCAGCAGCTCATCTGCCTGGCGTGTGGCATCAAGTTCACGTCGCCAGACAACCTCAACGCCCACCAGCAGTACTACTGCCTGAAGCGCAACGAGACTGAGCGCGAGCCGAAACGTTGCGGCAAATGCCGGGGGATTCTCGAGCCGGGCCATCAGGTGAGGGGTTTAGACAAAATCCAGTTATCCAGTATAAGGAGCCTTTTATGTGGCGGTTGCAGTGCGTCGCCCACTCCGCAGTAGCCGGATGGAAGTGCCCCTGCTGCGACATCATCAGCGCAACTGCCAGCGCAGCGCAGCGCCACATGGAAACGCACACGGGCGTCAAAGCATATCGATGCACCATTTGCAAGTACAAGGGCAACACTTTGAGGGGCATGAAGACCCACATTAGGATGCACTTCGACAAGAGGTCGCCCGACCTACAGGTAACTACCATCTCCCAGAGCACTGGAGGACGCTCTCCCCAGACCTTACCAGTGTTCTTAAAGTAAAGTCCACACAAAAACCCGGTGCCTGGAATTCCAGGAAGAAAAATACATCGCATACATACTGGAAGACGATTCGGGGACAAGTGGAATGGAGGTGGCAATCGCGCCCAGTCTGCCCACCGATGAGGGCGCTCCTCCCCCCAACATATCAGACCCGCGGCCGGACCCCCACCACCTTTGCCCTCAATGTCCCTACAGCTCGCCTTACAAGGCGAACGTGGTGCGGCACATCAAACTGGTGCACGACCAGGAGGAGATGAGCAATGGGGAGGAGCGGACGCATAGGGGGCTGCCCCAGCTGGAGGACGACGACGAAATCATAAGTGAGTGCAATCAGGGGGCGTAAAACGCGCAAAACTAACAGCAATGCCTCCTGATCAAAGTCAAAAAGGAGGCGATGGAACCGGAGGTGATCATCGATGCGGCGGATGGGGCCACCATCAAAGAGGAACCGGAGACCTCGACTACTCCGAAAATTTCCAAGACGCTGGATGAGGAGATTATGCAGGAGGTGACCAAGCCGGGGGCGCATTATTGCAAGTCGTGCGACATTTCCTTCAACTATCCCACGTCGTTTATCGCCCACAAGAAGTTCTACTGCCAAAGTCATGCAGGCGAAATCTCCAGCGCCAATAACAACAACAACACCGCCCCGAGAACGGCGGAGACTTCAGTCTTATAATAGTTAGGTGAGTGTTCCTCCCATGAACGAACATTTTGGAGGTTAACTCAATCATAACCTCTAAAACCGCGGAAGCAACACATTGGGTCTTCTAGGCTTAAAACATCTTAAATCTCAGCAAGAGTTGAACCTTGCCGCAAGATCTATCTTGCACTAAGTAGCCCAAAATCGAGATAAAACTTCCTAACCTCTAAAGAAGTAGAAGCAAACACACGCTTGAACTGACCTGCATCGGTTTCATTTTTTTGCTAAAATTTACCCTAAAGCTCGAAAAACTCAAAAAGCCGCATTTCTCGCTGCGATGTTGCCAGCTGGTATTTCCAGTCATGCTCTCACTGTGGTCAAGAAACGATATTTGTTTGAGAAATATGGATATTTACATCAATTATTTCTCCACTGATAAACCAATGTGTATGTTGTGCTTGGCGACGTTGCCAACTTCCTGAACTTATCTCTATAACACTTTAAAACATGGTTTTTTCATTGATAATGCCGCAATTTTTACCGTTTCTGTTTTTGCAAACAATTGCAGATTTTAATTGAAATTAATTTAATTAAAAAAACGACGGAAATTGCTCGGTTTTTTGGGACCAAAGTCATGCTCTCAGCGTGACGAAAATCCCTCTGCTTGATATATCTGAGCATTTGCGCAATTTAATTTGCTTTTGTGTGCAATGTTTCATTTTTTTCTATAGATCTGGTTCAAATGTTACTCTTTGCGGCATTGTCAAGTTCCCGAAATTATCCCTAAAACACTCCACACTTGATGTTTTACACACCTAATGTTTTTATTGATAATGCTTTTGGGGCGCAATGCCATGCTCTCAGTGCCGAAAAATTTTCTGCTGCCTTAAACAGCACAACTTTGAAAATTTGTTTTCTATTACATCTTTTCGCAAATAATATGATTTAATAATCAAATCCAAACCACATAAAAATGAAAGGAAAATGGAAGGTTTCTTCGATGCCAATTGGCTGGCTTTTAGGGCGCAAAAAAAATTGTCCGCTGAAAATATATTAACATTTGCTGGATTTATTATTTTTTGATGCTTTTGCGACGATGCCATATTCCTGAAATTACCCCAAAAACTCATCACGTTTAAATTGATAAAACTAAAATTTTTGGTTTTGACAATATGTTGAAAGTTTTCATGCGGAAAATATCGACCGGCCTTCAGAGTACAAAGTCATGCTCTTAGTGTGGTAAAAAAACCATTGTCGTCCTTAAACTGATTTTTTTCCGCATCTGGTTATTGGTACAAGTTATCTATGAACTGTCTTTCGATAACTCTACTTTAGATGCATTTGCGGCGTTGCCAAGATCCTCAAATTATCTGAACAACCTTTGCAATTTGGTTTATAAATTTTTGCAAAAGACAAGTTTTATTTAAATAAAGGACGCTTCTGGCTTTCAGGGAGCAAAGTCATGCTCTTAATACAGCGAATTTTCTTCCGCTGGAAATACTTGAACGTTTTCCAAATTTAATGTTGTTTTCACTAGTGATTTATTTTTCCCATTATGGGCCATTTTTGTACCCCTTTTGCGGCGTTGCACGTTTTAAAAATACCCCGAAAACCTTTTTTTAATTTGTTCTGGCAAAATGTTTAAACTTTTTATTCCAAAAACATCCCGAATTGGCGGCTTCTACACTACAAGTCATCCTTTTAGTGGGGCAAAAAACTTATTTCTTCCGCATTTTGAACCACATCTGGATAATCGGTAAATCATTTTGCTTTTGGAAATACTTGAACATTTTACAAATTGAATTTTGCTTTAACGAATAATTTATTTTTTCTATTATGGGCAATTTTTTTATAAACCTAGTTTAGATGCTAAAACTGCATCTTTTGCGGGGTTGAGAAATTCCTAAAATTGTCCCAAAAAACCTTTATTTTGCCAAAATTCTGAAAGTTTTAATTCGAAAAACATTGACCCGAATTGGCCGATTTTCGCACTACAAAGTACAAAGTCATGCTCTGAGTTTGGAAAAAATGGCTCTTTCCAGCATTTTGAACCATTTTTGGAGTCGATAGAAGCATTTAGTGGTTTTTTTATAAACTGCCGTTTGACTAATATATTTTAGGCAGATAGGGCCACCGTTTGCGACGTTGTCAAGCGGCTGAAATAATCCCTAGTCGACACGAAAATTTGACATAAATAATGATTAAACTCCAATGGGGCTCTCAGGAAAGGCAAAAGAACCAGTATTTCGTGCAAATATTGAGACAAAACCGAAATTTTCGCTCCCATCGCACATTTACCGGGATTTTTCAGACTTTTAAAACATTCACATTGTTGCAGCTATGGAAATTCCAAAGACCCGACCTACATTTGAACCACCCTGTACTGGACGAGTGAATGTTGGGCTCGATACAATCAACCATTTGAAAGCGTGCATCATTTAAAGAAGAAAAAAACAGTCAGTGCACAGTGATCTTAGACAAAGAAAAAACTCGGATTATTGCTTCATATACAGGGTGGCCAGGAAAAGGTTGCACTAGACCTAGACTAGTTGTCATTAAGTATACGAAAATTTAGAGCAAACGAGCACTGTTTTAAATACAGGGTGAGCCAAAAGTGGCTAGTGTGCTATACAGGGAGTGAGTGAGGTTTGGAAGAAATAACATTCCAAGCTTGACCAGCTTCGAGGTATGGCAATAGTAGGTTTAAGGTAGTTGGTAGGTGAAAAACCGCCCTGTATATGTTCTTGCGAACGGTCTCGTTTGGTTTGTGTTAAAGACGTGAATCTGAACAGGCTAAAAGCAGGATAGTTTGCAATTAATCTTCTCTGTCCAATGTGTTTATTGGTTCTGCTTCTAGCAGCTAGTAACCCGTGTTATTTAATGTATAATCAGGTATATATAATGTATAAAACTGGTATAGCGTAAGATTTGTTTTGTATAAAGTTAGATTTTTATTGATTTGTCTAGTTTTAGTGAGTTGACTAACCGAAATTGATAAATACGAAATAAGCCAAAGCATTCATTTCCTCTACAATGGAGAGTTTGATCGGTTGGATTCTGTTACAAATAGGCTTTTAGTCGTTTTTGCGTATGGTTATTATTATTATTATTATATCTCTCGATAGATGTAAAATAGATCTACTACTAATATAGCTGTGAGGGCCATCTGAAGCGCCTTTAGGTTCTTGGCACTACTGCAGTGATGATTACCGTTCTTGGAGACAATAAATTATTTATTTGTAAACGCGCCCTTTGTGTTTGCGTCTCGAATATATCGTGCCTTAACGGCCATAAATCTGGCACATGATCAGATTCAAGTGGCATTAATCCCGTCCATTTATTCCGAGATAAAAATATGTGTGCGTGAAAAAAGTACCGATTTCGAGCGATTGTCGGCCTGGAAAAAAGCAACCTTTTCATATCAAGCGCATTCAAGGCCCGGGAAATTGCCCCCGATATTTGCATTTTTCATGATGCATGCCTCGTTTTGCATACATTTTTCACTTATGAGTCCAATTATGTGAATTACTAGACGGAACTAGGCTATAAATCCAATGCGACGCACACAAGAAAACCACGCGTTCAATGGGTTGTTTATGTAGCGAAAAACTCTCGTTATCAATAACTCTAAGGCAAACATCTGCGGAATCTTGTATCCTTTTGCTGAACGGAACTTTTGCTGAACTTGGGTTTAGGTGTATTGATCGCAAGTTTCGTGCATTTTTGCATAATGATTTGCATAACCGCCCCATACATAAAGGGGGCCTATGCAAGGCATGTCGATTTGCTTGATCAACCACTAGGTTGGGTTGGGATCAACCACTAGATAGGGCCTCGCAAAAAACACATTCCTTCAAATTCTGGTAAATTCCAACAAAATCCTACAAACTACTAACTTATAAAAATTGAAAAACACTTCACTAAATCTGTTCATCTTTGTCAATGTCGCCGTAGTAAAAATCGTTGCTCATTCCTGTAGGCTTCACGTCCTGGTGCTTGGCTTTAAATCGGGCATACTCTTTCCCATAGAGCAGTTCGTCCTGGCTGTACACGAAGTTCTCTTCGCCTGAGTCGCTTGAGAGCACGTCTTCGTTCAGTTTATTCGCAGCTTGAACCTTCAAAAGTCTAATTGGTTTAAGATTCTATCCACATATCTTGATTAGGGTGAGACAAATTTACAGAAAATCGTGAATGTTTGTTCCATCCATTCAGTTCGATTTGTGTCACAAAAAGTGATCAATTTTGTCTTATAGGGGTTCCATATGAATCACACTAATCCAAGTGAGTGGGTTTGTTTGGCAAAAGCAAAGCTTCCAATGATTTACGGAACATCAGCCAAAAATGAACTGCAGGCTCTTATGGGCACTGAGCCGTGCTCAAAGTTCCATAAAACCCCAAATAGGCTCACTTTCACGCAATTACTGTTTTGCAGCTATTGAATCAGCTTGAACAAGTCGACCCACTGTTCAAACATTTCCCCATCTCAGCCAGTTCAGTCCGAAGGCGAAAAAAACACGTTTTTTTAACAGCTTTGGAGATATTTAGGATTTTTTGCATCGCTTTCGGAGCGGTGAGGGCGACATAATCGTCAATAACAAGAATGTTTGTCTAGCCAGCAAGAAAATGGTAGAACCGCGCGTACTCGTAACAGTTTGCCATTCATTTCTCGATAATCGCCGAACCCCCAAGCACCCTTAAACTCAAATAAAGGAAAAAGGGCTGGATTGCCACTCACCATATCTTCCTCATTGATACTATCGAATTCATCGTCCTCGGGATAATCGTTCTTCCAATTGTTCTCCGCATTCGAATCATCAGTGTCTTCATCAGAGGCATCATCAACCAGGTCGTAATCTTCAGCAGCGCCGAACTCCACGGGATCATTTAGTCTATGGATACTGTAAGCAGAAAATTTAAACTGTGTTTTGAGGGCCGATCAACTTACCACCGACTTTTCCCATACCCACCACACAGTCCAGTTTAGCCGTAGAATAAAGTGAGATGTTCAATGAGGAATCGAAGGATGTGAACCAAATGAAAGCGACTATTATGGATTAATTAAATTTAATTGAATTCAATGTCCCCTGAACAATAAGTATAAAAATGCCGGGGGAGGGGCTCTTTGCAGTAAAGACTAATCATAACAATAGTAACTATTACAGTAAGACAGAACTAAAACACACTAAGCTTTAGTTAAATATTGCGGAGGACATGGGTAATGGGTTTAGTAATACAGAAAATTCATTACGCAGGGACTATCCCATACTAACCTAACAGAGTCTTGAATATCGGCTTCGCCAAAATCATCCGAACTTGTGTAGTAGAAGTCGTACACATAACGGGCCTCTGCTGGCTCCGCATTTGCCTCCACGGGGGGCCGACTGGTTTCAGTCTCTATATCGAAAACCGTCACTTCTGAGCTGCTACTGCCCTCAACCGCTAGTTCTGGGCTTGTCTCTTGGTCGACGAGCTGTCTTCTGAAGCAGTTCACCACCTTGTACCGACTGTTCTTCGACGCCTCCTGTGAATCACATCGATTTTTCGCACTTATGTTCACGGGGTGCTTCTTATACTGTTCCTTCAGCTCGTTTCTGTCGGGCAGCCGATGCTTACGCAGCAAAGTCTCGATATTCTCCTCCTGTAACAGACAATTGTCAAACAGGGCTCCGCTACCTTTGAATCAATCACCTTCTGCGACGTCCCAGCCAATCGCAGCACTGCTGACAAATCCTGCTGCTGTGCTTCATCACTGCCGTTGGTTTTTCGCCTTTTGCAATTTAAAACCAACGTTTCGAGAGGATCTTCGTCCAAACGGCGTTTAATTCGAACAACGGCAGCCATTTTGGTATTTTGTGGTTAGTGAGCATAGAACAAGTGCGTAATTTCTGACAGATGACAGAGTGTGTCTGTGGTTACCAGGGTGGCCAACATTTCAAACACGTATTACCGTACAAGGTGGTTAGTGACATTTATGCTCTATGAGCTATATGGGGAGGAATGCTGCCAATCTCAGAGAGTCCTGTTGCTTCTTTGTTTGGAGAGGTGGCCTTTTGGGTTCCAATGGAATAGTTACATACTAGTATCTCTTGGAGGAGAAACTGGGGGTTAGTATGTGGAGGTTCCTTGGAGTTTCAGGGCGCCTAACTTGGTTCCCGCAGCCAGGGCGTCCAAATAAAAAAATGAAAAATCCCTTGCAGGCGTTGGTGCAACTGACAATGAGTCATAGTTTAAAAACGCCGTCACTGTCACTCTAGAAAACATTTATTGTGATTATTAGGGTGCTTATTTTGCTGGTTTTTGGCTATTTTTGGTAGTTTGTTCAGATTTTTAGATAACGTGTCTGTTGTATTAGTCATGGGGAACGAGATGTCACAGTCCGCAATGGAAAGTATCCTTTAACAAGCCATCAAGTCAAAAGACACCCTTGTGTATTTCGAAGCCGGGGCCCCAGTTTGATTTTGCCTTGGAGCAATTTCCTTAACCAGCCTTTTCCAGAACACCTATTCAACTTAAAGTTCGCGGTCAAGGACTTGGAAAGACAGTCGAAGCGATGCGAAAAAGAGGAGAAGCAGGAGAAGGCGAAAACGAAGCAAGCGATCCAGAAAGGCAACATGGAAGTGGCTCGAATACACGCAGAAAATGCCATCAGGCAGAAGAACCAATCGCTGAATTATCTGCGAATGTCCGCACGAGTGGACGCGGTTGCCAGCAAAGTGCAAAGTGCAGTGACTACAAGGAAAGTCACCAATTCTATGGCAGGTTCGTATTGTTCCTGCGTTGTTTCCTTAAGCCCCAATTTTCGCTTTTTCCAGGTGTAGTGAACGCTATGGATGCCGCAATGCGAAGCATGAATCTGGAAAAGATATCGAACGTGATGGATAAGTTCGAGCAGCAGTTTGAGGACTTGGGAGTTCAAACCGACGTGCTGGAGAACACAATGGCCCAAACCACTACCACTTTGATACCGCAAAACGATGTGGATTCGCTGATGCAACAAGTGGCAGATGAGGCTGGGTAGGAGGCAATTTCCTGGGGCCTAAAAGGGGGCAATTCTAAGACTTTCTGTTCCAGCCTGGAGCTGAATATGGAGCTGCCCGAGGGGCCGCAAGGGAGCAGCATTAGCAGCACCCAGGTGTCCCAAGAGCAGGACGAACTCACTCAGCGATTGGCTAAATTACGACAAACCGAATAAGTTCATTTATAAGGGTATTTTCAGGCCGGAAGCCTTTGTCCAGTGCAGCCTATTAAACGTGGACATGTGATATAATATAGGTTTTATTTTTCCCGCTATTCGCCTCTTCGCATGGAATAACGTACAGTCTAGTTGTTAGGGTTGTAAAGTTTATAATGGCATTAAAAATATGTTTGACGTTTTTTTTTGTGTTTTATTTAACTCGTTTAACGCACACTAAGTCGGCTTGAAAATTGGAGACACTAAAAATCCAGTCATCCGGATCAATGAGTTTCTACATACAGAAAGTGGGACAATTTCCGAAAACTCCCCATCATGTTGCCAGACTTCCCTTTTCCCACGACATATTTTCAGGTTATGGCACGTAAACAAAGCATCGTTTTGCAAAAAAACGCGTAGCACTCCTTTCATGGCACTGGTTGACTTCACCCAGGCTTCCAGAGCCTCAACGCGTCATTTTTTCAAAAAATCACTCAAACTCCTGCCGGATATCCAGCAGAGTCCAATTTGGGTGGGAAACTTTTTGAATTGTCCACCAATGGCAGGTCGACTACCTCTGTTGCCTTGGCAATGTGTAAATAAACCCGGGCCAATAGGGTCGGCTGCTGCACGCACGTGGCAACAACGCGGCACGCGATTGGCGGGCCGCAGAAGTTTGAATTTCCCGCCGCCGGTCTGCAAATGTTTCCGGCGGTGGTTACCAGACGCGGCAACAGCGCAGTGTTAACCACCAGGTTGCCACTTTAGGATCGTCGGATTAGTTTCCTCGATTTTGCTGGCCCTTGAACGTCATGTTTACCGCTGGTTTTTGCATTTTTCCCGATTCTTTCCTTGAAGTTTAAGTCCTGGATCGATTAAGTAATTTTCGAATTTTTTCAATGGGGTCCAGTGCTTGAAGTAATTTGTAGTGAGGTACTGGAGGAAACTGTGGTTCAACTAATGGCAACACTGCTAATGGCAAACCCAATGCACTCTGTGTCTGCTAAGCATTGAGAATCATTTGGAGTGGTTTTGTGTGAAAAAATTCGCGTCTTCCTAGTGTTTTCCTGTTCAGTGAGCATTCGGCTTTTGTTTCCCATCGTTTTCGCAAGTGCTACTGCTAAAGACTGGACACAGTTCGCTGTTTTCCACTGAACCTTCCACTGTCCGCCATTGTTCACCATTACACATCACCTTCATCCGAAGGCATTTCAGGGGACCGTCAGTGAGAAACCGTTCTTTATTGCACTCTCCAACGCCCCAGAGGTACGTCGACCGATTCAGCGCCCCCATAGGACTACACCTCAATGTTCTAGGTTAGAATGCAATAGCCCCACTTTAGAATGGCACAATACTTCCAGGTATTGGGCAAAAACGATTCGAATTCAGAGCCGTCTTCTCAATTCTTTAATGGTAATCCTGCGGATAATCGAGGGCCCCAAGTTAGGTACATCTTAGCTGAAGACAGCCCGCAATTGCAATCGCAAAGGGTAAGGTAGTCTGGTCTGGTTTAGGAATTGTTGTTTTAAGCCCCTGTTTAAGGGTGAGCCCTTGCTGGACCCTACTGGGCAACGAATGCATGTTTAGAGTAGGTACTAGAAGACTGTGGAAGGGAAATTTCAATAGTTTGGCAGTAGTTGGTGCTGCATTTGTGTTGCATTTCTATTATCCAGTTAGCGTAGAGAGCATGCCATCTACTTCTTGGTCATTTATAGCTCTATATCTCTCTTGGAAACTCAACTACATTTTTATTGACGCCCAAATCTTGTCGATGTTTTCATCAGCTTGACTTTTGAACCGAATAAAACCATGATTGCCACGTTTTGCCCTAAAATCCCGGTTTTTCTGTGATTTTCCAGTTAGTTCTCTCCACCAACCAGGTGATGGTATTGAACGGTTCTCCCCAGCAGATCCAGGGAGTAGTAGTTGATCAGGGCCGCAGCTACCAATCGAGCCCCCAGCAACATCAGCAACAATTCGGCATTATCCACAACCCCAACATGAGCAACCAGCAGCAGATCTTCTATATGGAAACGAACAGCGAGCAATCGGGAGATTCGGCCGTTGATCAGGTAACTACTTGCTTGGCATAAGTGAAGTTTGGTTGCCAAATGCGATTTTGTGCAGGCTTCCATGCAAGCAGCCGGTCACTCTCAGGCGCTAGTGCTGAATCATCAAATGGGCGCTAATCGCCCGCAGGCAAACCGGCCTCCCAGACCAGTGCTGACCATTCGGCCCCCTAGGCACGATGTGGGCCAGGTAAGGGCTGCAAGTTAATTTCTAGGACTTTTTTGGCACTATTGGGGTTGCAGGTGCAGCGACCGCCCCCTGATACGTCGACAGTAGAAAGACAGGCGGTGCCGCTGCAACTACGAATGCCCCGACCCAATAACTTGGCGTCGCGCCCAGCGGGCTCCAGTCTCATGCGCCAGCGGATGCTGACGCCCCCCAACCGGCCCCAAGTAAGTTCGGTTTGTTGCATACAAAAGTTGTATTTATGTTGCGTCTGGTTAGATGCCGCAGCAAAGTGTGCGACTGCCCACTACCTTGAACCAAGCGCAGGCGAAAAATCAGCAGCAAATGCTCAGACAGCTGGGCAGTTTGCATCAGAAGCTCCAAATGCAACACCCAGCCGGCTCTGATCAGCCGCCGCCTAGCGCTCATCTAATGCAGCCCCAAAGTACCAACAGTTCTGCGAAGACTTTTCGCGACTTTCAGCAGCAGCAGCGCCAGCAGCTGCTTGGACCCAATGGTTTGGACGAGGTAGTTTTGATAAATATCTGGAATTTTCCAAATTACAATGCACCCGTTCGGTTGCAGGATGAGCTTGATGATCACGATCCGGCAATGAACAGCTCGCCAGGCCAGCTGGTAAACTACAAGAAAATGCTCGAGCAGCGCCAGCTGCAGATCCCAATCTTATCCAAGTAAGACTCACTCCCCAGTGGAGGACCGCAGGACCGATTGATTCATTGCTTCTTTCCAGATTGCCCAGCAACATCAAAGTGACTCCGGCCAGCCAAATGTCGCAAAGAAGCGCCATTGAAAACACGCTGGAAAAGGCGATTTGCCAGGCCCAACCCGGGCGGGCCAAGCCCGTGCAAGCTTTTGACTCAGATCTAGCGCAAAAAACCGCCAGGGCGTCGTCCCAAGCCAGTGGCGTGCCGGTGCGCCCAAGGAAGCCTCAATACGGCTTTGGATCAACTGATGCGCCACCGATCCCTCATCCCCCACCGCGGTATTCGCAGAGCCCCCCAGGGGCACGGTTTGGCAATCAGGTGAGGCAATAGGCGGGAATAAAGGCGCCGATTAGGGAATAAATGTGGTTTTTTAAGCAGCAGCAGCAACAGTTAATGCACCATCTGTCACAACAGCCACATCCAGAAATGCCGCAGATGACTGCGCGCCCCACAAACAATCATCCTGAGCAGCAGCAGCAGACTTCGCTGCCACAAAACCAGTCGCGGGCTCTAAACAATAGCCGAAAATCGCAAATTAACTACTTGATTACGCCGCCCAGTCCAAGCAAACCGCGCCAGCCTCAGCCGCTGCCCTCCTACATCCCTTCAAGCCAAATTCAGCAGATCATTGGAATGTTCCAAGGTAAGTAAGTGGACTCAAAAGGTGGACAAGGTTTGTTCATCCGATCCATACTGTTCCAGAAACTACTCCAGCGTGTGAGGAATTTTCCGACTCGATTAGAATGCTGGTGCTGCTTGAGAACGGCGAGCAGCGACTGATAACATTCACACTGCCGAAGGAAGCCTGCACAATCCAAGAAATCTTGGAACAGGTCAATGTGCCGTTCACCCAAGAAACAAACATTCAGGTGACCGAAGCCAACACAAATGGCATCAACTACATCGTCACTGTGGGGAACGTGTCGAGTTTGGGCTATGGAAATGAGGTAGGCGCCATCCCCTTTTATTCCACTGGGGAGGTTTCAAGTTTTTTCGTTTTTTGAAGGAGGAGCAGCAGGAGGACTGCGTGCAACCGGCCCCAAATCAAGAGGAAAGCATCGCCGGATTCAAGCAGTCGGTACAGGATTTGGTGACGGCCCAACTTGAGCATCTGCCCCCAGAACTTCCCAAGCTCATTCCGGGAAAGCTGGCTGTATGTTCCGCTTGCGGCTACACTGGAGAGGATTTCAACAAATGTAGAAGGTAAGTTTTGGGTTCTCCTAAACTCTATCGGAAGTATCAGTATTTTTGAAGTGCCTGTCCGCTTGTTCCAGATGCAACCGCAAGCTACCAGACAACGTGAAGGCAATCGAAACCATCGATAAGAATGACACAAATGATTCGCCATCGCGCGATTCGTCCAACCATGCATCTGAGCAATTCATCAACTCACCAGAAAAATCTGACTCAGGTAAACTGGCCAATCAGCCTCAAATCGGGATGTTAGGAAAGTTTTGTGTTGCAGCCCCGAAAATGCCGCCTATCAAGAGGCGCCCAATCAAAGTGAAGCAGCCCGAAGAATCGGTGGTGATCATTTCCGATGAGGAAGGCGATGAAAAGAAGCCGACAAAATCTGTGAGACTTTTACAGGGTGTTTGTGGTTGACTAGACTGATGTTTTGGAAATTTCAGGTGAGTGAGCAGCTGCTCACCAAGCTGGGCGCCTCCATATCGATTTCGCCCGTCACTAAAGAACCCTCATTGACAGAGATCAAGAAGCATGTTAGAAAATGTAAGTAATTTTCTGTGGTGTGTTGGTTTCAGTTAACCAGACTTTGCCCCTTTTTTATAAACTTTCAGTGTCAGTGGAACCATTGAATGCCGTAAAACTGCACATGAAATGTCGCACTGTTCGCATAGGATCGCATCGCTTTATCCCCTGCGGCGATGTAAGTAGTCTAGTAAATTTCCCCATGCCTTTGCTTTGATACTTGCGGCTTTTCAGGTGATTTTGGAGTCAAAGTGCGTCATTATCAAGGCTCCAGTGGTGGGCAACAAGACCGAATACAAAACAGTGCGAATTGATCGCGGCGACATCGTCAAAGTGCTGATCTGTTACAACAAGGTTCTTCCCGTGCTCTTCTACTACATCAACGGGGGTGCGGCTCCGTTGATTCGCTCCATTCTTGAAATGACCAAAGAAAGTGGCCTGTATTTTGATCCCACCGAGGAGACTGATGATTCATTCAGGTGAGTGTGGAGTTGGGGAATTGGGGCAGTTTGCGATGTTACCGGGTTGTTGCAGGAAAATCACTCTGTTGCCCGACGATGCCATTGAAGAACAGAAGACCATTTTCGATCAGCTGTATGGAGTCGCTCCGTTCAACGTGCTCGAGGAGCTAACGGCGAAAGAGGCCAACAATATCCTGATCAAAGCCTGTCCTAAAGAGTCGAACTCTGCTGCCATCGGGTAAGTGATTGTTTGTTTTTCGTGATTTGGGATGTTCGTCTTTTAAAGTGGTAATTTTTATTATGCTCGCTGATTTTTCCTTGAAGTGCGCTAAAAATAAAGTAGTTTTACCCCGAAAAACGGCGAATTATTCATAAACACCAGTTGGGAGAACAACCATTCAAAATTGGCCCCAAGATCCACAAGAATTACAATTACTGCTTTATTTTAAGTGTGCTTTAAGGAAAAACTTCCAAAAAGCGAAATTTGTTTTTATTATTTACTTCTCTTCTTTATCCCTTGTCTATTCTATGATTTCTTGAAATTTTTCGATAAAATCTCTGTTGATTAATGCGGCCCTCTAGGCAGCGTTGTCAAAGTTTGCGACTGTAAAATTCTTGTCAGTTACCCAGATTGGCGGCACTGATTGCTAATGGGCTTTCTAGGTTATGCGTCCGATTTCAACATGTTACATTTATAGTTTTTACAAAAATGACTGTGGATTATGAGAATGGGCACCAGTAAGAGCTTTTTCACGTTTTCCCGATTGCCCACAAACTGCAAAGGTTTGATATGGTTTGTTTCAGGTCATTCAGCGAGATCAAGCAGATCCTGATGTACCCGAAAGAGGGCCAGGGCAGGCTTAGCATCAATACTGAAGACTATGTTTGTTTGGCAGTTGATCAGTTTCTCAACGACAAAATAATTGACTTCTATCTGAAATACCTGTGGGAAAACCTGCCTGAAGAGCAGCAGGAGAAAGTGCATGTTTTTTCGACATTTTTCTACAAGAGACTGACCACAAAGGCCACCAAAGCAGCCAAGTACGTCCCAAGTCTGCCAGTTGGTTTGTGTTCACTTGCTAAGGGATGTTTTGTTAATTGCAGGAAATCTCATCCGTATGAAACTGACCCTAGTTTGACCGCCGCCGAGAAGCGACACTGGAGAGTGAAGAACTGGACCAAGCGTATTAACTTGTTTGATAAGGACTTTATTATCGTGCCAATTAATGAGAACGCCCATTGGTTCTTGGCCATTATCTGTTTCCCTGGGATGCGAGGCCCGCAGACGTTTGATGGGAAACCGTACAATCCGGAGCCCAGAGCCAAGCCAAAGCCCAAACAATCAAAGGCGAAACCGACTCTTGGTACGGCCGTTTTGGGGTATTCGACTGGGCAGCTTCGGTACAATGTTTACTCGTTGCAGAAGTGAAGAAGGATGCCACCATTCCATGCGATGATCTACTGCTGAGTGACAAAGATGAAGCCGAGAGCGAGGATTCCGATATGGATTCGGATGATTCTGAAGAGTCCGCGGCCGCTGCTGCTGCAGCTTCAATTGCAGCCGCTGCAGCTGCTTTAGCAGCTGCAGCTCCTGTGGCGTCATCAAAAGGAAAGACGGCCCGACCGCCAATTAAACAGTGAGTAATCGAAACTTTGGTAGTAGTCAATTAAACAGTTCTTCAACAATTTTTGAAATTTTAGGCCCTGTATATTAATCTTCGACTCCCTAGCAGGCCCTAGTCGGGCTCGAGTCGTCGCCACCTTAAGAGACTATCTAACCTGTGAATATAAAGTGAAAATGGATTCGGACAGAGTGTTTAATAAGGACGCAATTAAGGGGTCCTGCTGCAAAGTGCCCCAACAGACCAACTTTACCGACTGCGGCTTGTATGTGCTGCAGTATGTGGAGCAATTTTTCAAGGTAATTTGCCCCTTTTCCGTGGTTTAGTTGCGCGGTGTTATTAACAGTTTCGGTCGCTTCAGGACCCGATCACGGACTACAACATCCCAATCAAGACAATTGATAAATGGTTCGACGAAATCATTGTTACTAAAAAGCGTGAAGATATTTGCAACTTGCTCAAAGAACTGATGATCGAAGATGGCACGGATGTTAACGGTTTACCAGAAATCGCCCTGCCCACCTTAAATGGTAAGTGGAGAAGCACACAATATTAGTTCGTTTTTCCTTGTTTTTAATTGGAAAACCATAATGATTGAACAACGATTTTTCAAGATGGGCAGAATGTGAAAGTATCTTTATCGAGCCGAATTCACATTAAGCAATTAAAGTCGTTGAAATGGTCGTTTGAGTTTATGAAGTGTATAAAAGGAACCGTGAAAATTCTTGAATTCTTGGCCAGAAAGCTGAAATGGCATTTTGACATTGAAAATCGGGCGAAAAGTTAAAAAGTTTCGAAGCAATCAAGGAAAATCGTGCGCTTTTCGATTAACATATTCTTGAAATGTCGGAAGACTAATGAACTTTCGAAGACCCAAACCTGGAAGTCCTAGAAGATTGAACGGCCTCTAAAATGACCACTTGATTTTGAAAATCGCGCAAAAATGATCGAACTCATGATAGAATCATCTTCCGGAAATGACGGAAGGTAACAGGGAAATTAAAGATTCAATATTGAAGGCCCAGAATACCAAACGGGCTTTAAAAAAACTTCGGGCGTAGCTTCATATGAACTAAAAAAAATATTAATGCCCTGCCACAATTATCTGAAACACCCTGTACACATCCAGCGAAAGCGTTGTTTTATGGAACTATTTATTTACGTAACTTACTTATCCGCCTGATTGGTACACCTTGTATAAATGTTAAATGCCCTATTTGAACTAATTTCGAAGCTTCCCCCGTATTTTGTTGTAAGAGTTGCTCATTGAAAATAGCGTATTTTTAAACGCGTCCCGGTATAGGCGTGACCCAGAAAGCTGTTTACTTGATTATGTTGTATGGAAAACCGCTTCTGGTCTTTGTACTTTTCTGAATTTATTAATTTCATTCACTCATAGATCGGTTTGCGGCTGTTTTTCGCCTCGCCGTGTAATATTTTCTTCGCCACCACCGTTAATTTTTGTTCAGTGGAGTGACCTTGAAATTCAGTGTTGCCAACAGGGGCAATATTCGTATGCTAACTTTTGTTTAATTTGCAATTTTGAATGCAATTAATAACTAGTATGGCAATGGTTTATTCGAGGCAGTTGCGCAAGTTAAATCCTTTACTGTGGTTGGTTGTACTTTCCAAGCAAATTTAAATATTTCTTCAGAAAGTTGCGGGGTTGAGCGCATGAAATGTTTATTGATTAATTAATTAGTAAGCTATTTAATGCCGGCAGGTACTCCAAATAAATGTTTTAGCTTGCGATTACTGCGACTTTTAAACGCACTGCTACCAACCCAAGCATTGAAAATCGCATTTGGGTACCTTTCAACTCTACCGCGCATTATTCCCCCACCCCACACCCTAAATGCGATAATCAATGCCGGGAGGTATTGATTTTTTTCGTAATCTGGGGTAGCCTTGAAACGCACTGTCGCCAACTTAAGCATTGGTGCTCGCACCATTGTTGGCAGAACTGGCTCAGAATACGAGGGCGCTTGGAAAAGTTTACGTGTACAGGGTGTTCTAAATAAATTTTTGGTTTAGGCAAGTTAGTGGAGCGACCCGAGCCAGACCAGGCCGGGCCAGACGGAGAGCAAGAGGACATGTTTACCGATATTGAAGACTCTGAAATGATGGATGCGACCAATTTGAACCAATCTCAAGCTGAGGGAGGTCAGGAGGACGAAGCCACGAGCGACAATGCGGAGGAAGAGCACGAAAACTCTTCAGGTTGCGAAAATTCTTCGCTTGAAAATTCCCCCACTAAAACTACTGACGATGAGAAACTAGATGAAGCGACGGCCGAACCAGATGAACAGCCAAATTCGAAGCCCCCATTGGTTCAATTCCCTAAGCTAACCACCAATAAGGACACGTTGAATTATCTGAAGTCTAAGCGGATTATTCGCCACAAAGGTCCATCGGATGGAACTGAATTAAAGAAGCGCAAAATGGACACAGATTAATGTTATTCCTGTATTTATGGCCATTAATTATTAAGGCAAAAGCTAGTGATTTCAAAGGCAAATACATTTCTGTTCTAGTTCTATGGAGTATTGTTCAGATAGGTTGATTTAATAGCCCAGTTCTTGTACGAGGGGTGTTTTATTCGTTCAACTGCACAATTCCATGTTCCTATCCCAATGTTGCCAACATGGTAGCTGGATGCAGATGCAGTGCGGCCGTGGCTAAGCAGAAATTAATCAACGTTTGCTCGGTGGTTGTTGCCAGAATTGGCAAACCCTCCTCAATGTGCTGCAGTTGCAATTTCGGAGGTTTTAGCACATTTGCACCGTGTCAAGGGTGGAGCCGCTCAGGCGTTTGATTTTGTTGCTGATAAACTCGAGTGCGTGGATGAAAAAAACCGCACTAAAGTCGGGAAAAGGGCGAAATTGCCCTGAGCTACACCAGCTAAGGATTTCTCGGCCCATTGACCTGGCAACGCCGCTTTGGCTCCCTTGCCCAGAACGTCACATGTGACAGCTGTCATCAGTTACAGTTGTTCGCCTAAGTAAAAAAGTGAACAATCTGCTTTCATGTTTGTTGGAAATTCCGCCCAGCAAATGAATCAGTAGCATTCGGAAGCAATCAGGCCGGAGACAACGCACAGCCATTGCAGCCACTCGCCGAATCCCCATTGGCTTGTAGCATTTCGCAACAGGCCCCCGAAAATACTTGGAATACCTACAAGACTATCCGGCATTTTGCAATCTATCCCTGTTCGCTTGGAAATCGCGCCACATTCGAAGTGAGTCCAGCCTGCACAATGAGCCGTTTCCATTTCCATGAATCACCCACACGTCAAAATGAATCAATAACTCTTACAGAGCCCCGTGCATGAACACCCAGTATACGATGGCAGATTCAGCCAGCGAGTCGGACTCGAGCAGCATCGATGGGGGCCCCATCATGATGCCCCCCAGCCCCATAACACGGGAACAGCTGCAAAAGCGCATCGAAAGCCTGCAGCAGCAGAACAGGGTGTTGAAAGTGGAGCTGGAGACCTACAAGCTGAGGGTGAAGGCCCTGCAGGAGGAGAACAGGGACTTGCGGAAGGCCTCGGTTATCATAGTAGGTTGCCTGCTGTTTGTCGAAGCCTGGTGATTGATTTCCGGGTTTTTCGCAGCAAGCGAAGGCAGAGCAGGAAGAAGAATACATCTCGAACACGTTGCTGAAGAAGATCCAAGCCCTCAAAAAGGAGAAAGAGTCCCTGGCGCATCATTACGAGAGGGAGGAAGAATGCCTTACCAACGACCTGTCGAGGAAACTCACGCAGTTAAGGCAAGAGAAGTGCCGGTAGGTGGTAAACTAAAACTGCTAGCAAAGTGGGGCTGATGGGGGGCGTTTGCAGGCTGGAGCAGACTCTGGAACAAGAGCAGGAGTGTTTGGTCAATCGCCTGATGAGGAAGATCGAAAAACTGGAGGCGGAGACGCTGGCCAAGCAGAGCAACCTGGAGCAGCTGAGGAGGGAAAAGGTTAAAAAAAAACAGCTAAGCGACTAGTTAATTTATTTAAATATTCGCAACGTTCCAGGTGGAACTGGAGAATACGTTGGAGCAAGAACAGGAGGCTCTGGTGAATAAGCTGTGGAAGCGAATGGACAAGCTGGAGACGGAAAAGCGGATGCTGCAAATCAAGCTGGATCAGCCGGTGTCCGATCCGGCCAGCCCCAGGGATATTAGGTAGGAACCGTTCCTCACATTTTCCTTTGCATCGAACCAGTTTCTTTGGATGTTTAGCAGCAATGGCGACACTGCTACCAATCTGAGCGCCCACATCCAGACTTTGCGGCAAGAAGTGGCTCGGCTGCGCCAAACGCTGGCGATCAGCCAGCAGGAGCACACACAGAAGATGCAGCGCTACGTGCAAGAAGAGCGCAACATCAAAGAGGAGAACCTCAGGTAATTGGGCTGGAAGCGCCCTCGAGCTGCTACTAAGCGCCGATTTTTGTGCAGACTGCAGCGCAAGCTGCAGCTGGAGGTCGAGCGCAGGGAGGCCCTGTGCAGGCACCTCTCGGAAAGTGAAAGTTCCTTGGAGATGGAGGAGGAGCGACACTACAACGAGCAAGTGATGGGAGTGCGACAGCACACGATGTCTCCTATTCCATATAACCCGTCTCCTACTCACAGTCGTCCATTGAGCCCCGGTTAGTGCACTAGTCTGTCCCAAGCTTGTTGGAAGTGATGCTTCTAACCGATTAAGTCTCATCATCGTGCAGGTCTGAGCTCTCAAATGCAAACTCCGTCGCGTCTGTCGGACGCCCTGCTGGCAGGAACTTCGGGGGTGCCGCCGCCCCGCTGTCCATCCTGCGGACAAACGCCGCTGCCCCACGGCGTCCAAGGAAGCCCGCCAGCGCCGCCCCACCGCAGGTACTGAGAGTGGCGTGTGCCTGAGAGCGCCCAAGTTGCGCCCTACACGCCAAGTTAAAACTTTCGTACAATTTGCAGGGCTTCGGAAAGATTCGTCAAGCCGGCCGTGCCTGCGCCCAGCATAAACATGTCGGGGATGATTCCCGTGGTGTCTTCAGGCGTTTGCACTGTAGTCCAGCCGGCAAGTCCAATGGATACCAGCGGCGGAAAGGACTAAGGCCGTTTTCGCGTGTATCGTCAGGTAAAACACTGTTTCTTCTATACGGCTTGCGGGCTGGAATGGTGCGCCTCTGAGTCTTCTACCAGCTACTGTTTCTTGTTAATCTGTACTTATGCGTTCATTTTTCTATCTACTTTGCGGCTTGAGCCGTCGACTGCAGCCTTATAAGCAAATCGAGAAACTGTGGCCGTTGTAACTTGGCCTGTTGTAAAGTCGCTGCCAAGTTCACACTTTGTGATATTTCAAATTTATTAAAAGAAAATGAAAAAGTGTGTGTACCTACTTTTGCTGTTTATGATCGTGTACAGGGTGGCCCCTCAAAGGCCCGGGTTTCTTCCACGAAAGTCTCAGCCCTGTATATTGTGTGTTTTCTATATGTTAAGGTTCAATGTACTTCTTCAATCGATGTCGATTTTCATCACTCTTCATGGCTTGCCAAGCTGCCGATTTTCGTTCACTATTAGTTAAGCAATAACCTTGGCTTCAGCTTTGTATATTCATTGTTCTCCTTTCCATATAAACGAGAAATACTATCGTACTTTAGTTATACTTAGGGGTTAATATTGCTAGTTATAAAAACAATTTAAAAGCCACCAACGCCGACATCGGCGTTGTAAAAAAATTAATTAAAGTGATATTAGACTAACGATTTCCTCAAACTTTTGGCCAATTAATCTCCATGTTACGCTTGTTTTGTACATAAGAAGAAAACCTAATTTGCGCTGCACAGCTCGAAACTGAGTTAAGTTTAGTCCTTGCACGCTCCCGAATGTTTGCCGGACAACCGTGTTACTGTTAATAAGACTCTTTATGCATTGTGTTACGCACAGATCAGCTATTAGGGTTAACTATTTACCGTTGTTTTAAGTTTTTTCTATATGGGGTGCTCTTGCACCATTTGCTAAGTTACGCGCTCGGACTTTTTCCTAAAGGGTTCGTGTTAATTGAGTATTTTTCAGTTCTAAATAAATATTATAGACACTTTGACTCGTTTTTTAACCATCCCAGCCCTTGACAATTACAGGAAGATCCAGCGATGGTTTTGTGGCGACGTGCCCGAAAAATCGCCTTTGGAAGCATTTTATTGACTGGATTACTCAAAATAAATTGTGCTTGCTTATGGCGTAACCAAATACCTGTACTTGCACCTACAGTGGCGTATCTAAAAGCCCATTCTGCACAGGAAGTGATTCTCGCATGTACTGGATTTGTACATGACGTAAAAGCAGCAGAGGACGAGCGGAAAAAATTAAAATCTATTTTTTACTTGTGCTTATGTACATTCTTAATACCTATTCGAGTCCTTTTAATGCGTTTTTGACGCCAGTCGTTTATCCCTCTCTTCGGCAATGGACAGTTTGACTCCCTTTCCTCTGGGCAGGGAGGCGAAGGCTTTGCTTCCTTTGCCAATTATAAAAACGTTGTTTAATCTGCAAAAAAAGACAGTGGATAAGTCACAAGCTGGACACATTTTACTACAGCAATGGGTTACCCCGAAAACAATGTGGATACAGAATCGAGTCAAAAATATGCTTTTGTTGCTTTTTCATAAAAAAATTGGTCTTTTTTGGATGAAACGACAACATCTGCAAAGCTAAACAATAAAATAGGAGTCGTTTTTCGAGCTTTTAGGCAGCCGTGGAAAAAAGATTGGTTTTCTTCGGGTGTGTTCGCACTCGAAGCGAACTCTGAAGGTGCAAACCACTTGGGCTTGCGAAACGCCAGGACCAATTTCTTTTAGGTCGACCTAAAAGCCCGAAAAACTCAGTTCCATGCACGCTATTAAAAAACTGTTAAAATTTACGAAATTTACTCGGTTCTTACCTGGTGGCAAATACGTGTTCATTGGCATCTTTGATATGAACAATATCAAACGATCCCGGATGTCTTTCTCTGTTAACCACCGTTCCCACGCGTCCCAAATTTCTGCCTCCAGTTATCTGGCAGAGATTTCCCGATTCGAACTTGATGTAATCCAGAATCTTTGATGTGGCAATTTCCAGTTGAATCGTATCGTTTACCTGAAACCCATTGGAAAAGCTTGTTAAATCCGCTCATGTTTTCCCGAGTAGAAACTCTTCAGTCGCAATCAAAGATCAGTTAATGGGTAGTGGTAAATACGAGTCATCAAATTAGGCTCAGTTTCGTAAGAACGCATCATATGAATGATTGTTTTTG